AATCGAACCTGGGTCCTCTGCAAGAGCAATCAGTGCTCTTAACCACTGAGCCATCTCTCCAGCCCCAAATAGAATAATTTTTAAAAGAAATAAGCAGTTCATTGGGCTGGAGAGATTGCTCAGTGGTTAAGAACACTGGCTGTTCTTGCAGAAGACCCGGGTTCGAATCCCAGCACCCACATGGCAGCTAACAACTATCCGTAACTCCAGTTCCAGGGGATCCAACAGCCTCTTCTGTCCTCTGTGGGCACTGCATGACATGGCTGCATTTACCTACATGTAGGCAATACACACATAGCATACACATAAAATAAAAATAATAAAATATTTTTTAAAAAAGAAATAAGCAGTTCACATACAGCTTGTGTGTGTGTGTGTGTGTGTGTGTGTGTGTGTGTGTGTGTATGTGTTACCTGGGGTCTCTGTGTTGGCATTCACGCCACCAACTCTGCTGAAGCGTGCCAGTACATCATCAGACAGGCCAAAGTGAACATCTTGCTGGTTGAAAATGACCAACAGCTACAGAACATTCTTTCGGTAAGGGAGACCTCAGAACTCCAGCTGACATCACTCTGTTCCCAGGTGGATGACAGTGACACTGGGGTGTGTTGGGGTAAACCTCGTGAGTAGGTTCAGCAAAAGTCCTCCTGGTATAACTTTATTGGGGGGGGCAGACACAGGGAGACCCCTTTTGACTCCTACTTCCTGGACACAAATTTCTGCCAGTCTTGAGTAGATTTTATTTGTTTTGAGATAGGACCACATGTAGCCCAGGATGACCCTAAATTCCTGATCCTCCTTCTTCACCTCCTGAGTGCTGGGATGACAGGTGTACACCACTGCACCTAGTTTTTGGGGTTCTGGGGATGAACCCAGGGCCTTGTGCATGCTGGGCAAGCACTGCCCACTGAGCCACAGCCCCCAGTCTTGCATTTTTAGAGGATCACTTTCATTTTTTGTTTTGTTTTGGTTGGTTCCCTAGGTTTGATCTGGCCCCTGGTGCATTTGGCCTCTCATACATTATGTATGGGTCTGGGATGCTCCCCTGGCCACCCACCCCAAGCTTTTCCTCTTCCTCAAACACCCCAAGCTACAGTCTGCTCCAGGATTCTTGAACGTCCTCCCCTCCCTGCTGCCTGGTCTGCCCACCTGCAGCCGAGGAGCATATGGGGCGAAGCCACTGTGGTATGGGAAATGACCTTGTCATCAGACAGGCTTTCACAGCCTGGAGGGGCCTCCGATTTTTTGGAGCATGGTGGAGGATTCTCAGCATGTATCTGACCTGACCCTTCCTGCGACAGGGATGGGCAGATGTAGACCAGGCTGGGCTTGAACTCACAAAGATCTTCCTGCCTCTGCCTCCGGAGTGCTGGGATTAAAGGTGTGCGCCACCATGCCCGGCTTCCTTTGTAGTTTTTATTTTGTGTGTTTTGCCTGCATGTGAATAAGTGCACCCGTGTCCTGCAATGCCCTCAAAGGCCAGAAGAGGGTGTTGGATCTCCTGGAACTGGAGTTACAGATGGTTGTTAGCTGCCTTGTGGGTAATGGGAACCCAGCGCCAGTCCTCTGAAAGAACAACCAGTGCCCTTAACCATGAGCCCTCTCTCCAGTCCCCAATTTATTCTCATTACATTTATTTTGTGTGGGGGGCAGAAGACTGCTGTGACTCCTTCCATCATGTGGGTCTTGGGGATGGAACTCAGGTCATGAGACTTGGTGGCAAGCTCCTTCACCCACTGAATGTCCTGTGGTGTGGGTGGGGCCATGGCTGAGGAGTTGAGCTGCACAGGCCTCAAGTCTTGCCAGTGACTGCACACAGAACGTTCTCTTAGATTCCATCCAGCAGGCTGGAGTGCTTGAAGGCCATTGTACAGTACAAGCTGCCCATGAAGGAGAGAAGCAAAAACCTGTACTCTGTGAGTGTGGGCGGGGCCTGTGGAGGGAGGGACCTGTGAAGGGAGGGATCTGTGGAGGGGCGGGACCTGTGGAGGGGAGGGGCCTGTGGAGGGATGGGCCCTGTGGAGAGGAGGAGCCTGTGGAGGGAGGGGCTGTGGAGAGGAGGGACCTGTGAAGAGGAGGGACCTGTGGAGGGGAGGGGCCTGTGGAGGGATGGGCCCTGTGGAGAGGAGGAGCCTGTGGAGGGAGGGGCTGTGGAGAGGAGGGACCTGTGAAGAGGAGGGACCTGTGGAGGGGAGGGGCCTGTGGAGAGGAGGAACCTGTGGAGGGGAGGGGCCTGTGGAGAGGAGAGACCTGTGGAGGGAGGGGCTGTGGAGAAGAGGGGGCCTGTGGAGGGAGGGGCCTGTGGAGGGGAGGGG